TAAAGGTGGAAAAAGTTCTGAATGATTTTTCTTTGTCTAATTTTTTTTTACACAGAAACCTGACATTTTAACAGGGGTGAGAAGACCTTTTATATCCATTATACAGGGGTTCTTCAAAAAGTTTCCACACTTTTTAACATATATAGATATATATATGTGTGTGTATGTGTAGAAAAGTGCAGAAATGTTTTGAAGACCCCTTGTATATGCACTATATCTTATAGTTCAACATTATCTTCTCTATCCTCTGTGAGTATATCAAAAGGCACTGTTTGGACCCTTGTCTTCTCCATGTATATATGTGGTCTTTTCATATTTCCATCATCTTAACCTGCCTTTCTACCAAAATTAACCATTACTGTTAATCACTCCCTAGTACCTAAAGTTCACTAAAATTTTTAGGTTTAATATATTATTGTGCTTAATCTTGTGATAATTGTGCTGTCATATTTACAATAAATTTTGAACTGCTCTTCCCAACTCCAAATATCTGCTCACCTATTAAGAACTACTACAAATGTTACAGTACGGTTTGAGCTTTTACCCCCACTGACACTGTTCAGGAGTTCTTCAAGCCTTCAAACCCTGCTCTTTAATTCACCTCCCAAGTATCTAAACTATATCACACTACTTTTGTGCTACTATTCAGAGAACATAAAAACTACCTACAAAAATTTAAAAATATATGGAGAGATAGAATAACATCCATTAAATTGACGCTTCAACCCAAATTAGTCTACCACTATAAAACTTGACCACATAAGATCTTCATTGAAGATACTAAAGCATTAGCTATGTTAAACTTCACTTGGAGTGATAACAGGTACATAATGGCTAAACAGGTTTTCCTCTCCTCTCAATCCCAGAGAGGTCTTGGCTTTCCTGACATAACTAAATACTATCTAGCAGTCCGCCTACACTACTTAACCTTGCCAGTTTTTCATCCTTTTAACAGGTGGATGGAGATAAGGAAGCTTTGGATCATGCTTATTCAATCGTACCTTTACTGTGGACAGCCACTGCCAACACGAAGGAACTTAATCTTCTTTGCCATTATGGTCCATACCAAATATATATGGACTTGCTAAAAAAGAAAAATTCCATCTATCTTCTACAGCCCCCCAACAATGTCATTTCTCCACCTATCACCAGTACCCACTAGTCTCAGCCATCATATGGCCCAAACCTGGTTGGAAAAATTTTATTTTCAGGTTTCAAAACATCATTCACAGAGGAAATAAGACCCTTCTCTCTTCCAGGGCCTACAATTCACTCTTAACTACCATCAAAGTCACCATTCAGCTGTTTTCAATCAATGATTATACTCATTCTATTTTAAAAAATCTGATGTTTTCTAGGTTGCCTTCTTTTGAGGAACTTTGCTTGAAAGGCCCTTCACAGACACACTTTATACACTGCTCAAAAAAAACACTTTTTAACCAGAGTACAGCATCAAGTCAATTAAACTCCTGGAATATTGATCTGGTAAGTTAAGTAGCAGAGGGGGTTATTAATCAGTTTCAGCTGCTTTGGTGTTAATGAAATTAACAGGTGCACTAGATGGGCAACAATGAGACAACCCTTGAAATAGGAATGGTTTTACAGGTGGGGGGTCATTGACATTTTTTTCCCTGCTTATCTTTTCTATTTTTCACTAGTTTTGAATTTGGCTAAGGTCAGTGCCATTATTGGTAGCATGAGGCGATACCTGCACCCTACAGAGGTTGCACAGGCAGTCCAACTCCTCCAGAATGGCACATCCATACATGCCATTGCCAGAAGGTTTGCTGTGTCTCCCAGCAGTCTCAAGAGCATGGAGGAGATTCCAAGAGACAGGCAGTTACTCTAGGAGAGCTGAACGGGGCTGTAGAAGGTTCTTAACCCATCAGCAAGACCAGTATCTGCTCCTCTGTGCAAGGAGAAACAGGATGAGCACTGCCAGAGCCCTTCAAAATGAGCTCCAGCAGGTTTGAATGTCTTTGACCAAACAATTAGAAACAGACTTCATGAGAGTGGTCTAAGGGCCCAACATCCTCTAGAGGGCCCTGTGTTGCTCACTACCCGGTACCATAAAGCTCAATTGGCATTTGGCATTGAACACCAAAATTTGCATATCCGCCACTGGTGCCCTGTGCTTTTCACAGATGAAAGCAGTTTCACCCGGAGCAAATGTGACAGATGTGAAAGGGCCTGGAGAAGCCGTGGAGAATGTTATGCTGCCTGTAACATCATTCAGCATGAATGTTTTGGTTGTGGGTCAGTGATGGTCTGGGGAGGCATATCAAAGGAGGGACACACAGACCTCTATAAGCTAGACAATGGCACCTTGACTGCCATTAGGTATCAGGATGAAATTCTTAGACCCGTTGTCAGACCCTACGCTGGGGCAGTGGGTCCTGGGTTCCTCCTGGAGCACGAAAATGCCTGGCCTCCTGTAGCGAGAGTATGCATGCAGTTCCTGGAAGATGAAGGAATTGATACCAATGAATGGCCCCCATGCTTACTTGACCTAAATCCAATAGAACACCTCTGGGATATCATGTTTTGGTCCATTGACACCACCAGGATGCACTTCAGACTGTTCAGGAGCTAATTGATACCCTGGTCCAGATCTGGGAGGAAATACCCTAGGATACCATCCGTTGTCTCATTAGGAGCATGCCCCGATGTGGGGGCCATACAAACTACTGAGTACCATTTTGAGTTGCTGCAATGAAATTTTAGCAAAATGGACTAGCCTTCTGCATCATTTTTTCATTTTGGGTGTCTTTGAATTCAGTCCTTTGTAGGTTGATCATTTTCATTTCCATCAAATGATGGGGCATCCTTACATTCTTAACACATTACCCAGTCCATTGCAGTATAGATATCCAGCATATTTTTCCCCATTGAGATCTGAAAGTGTTCCTTTAATTTTTTGAGCAGTGTATAAGACATTTATAGATACTTAGACACTATTATTACTGACCCATTTCCTAACTATAAAAATATGCTCAAATGGGAAGACTTCCTAGGTTGCACTCCAGGATATGAAGAATGAGATAAGATATAGTATAGCACCAATAAAAACTTTATATGCATTTCATACAAAGCGAACCAATATAATCCTATACTATTGTTATAACACTCCAGAATTTCTCAACTGATAAACCCAACAATATCATCCACTTGCTGGAGGTGCCTATAGCCTATACCATATCTGCTGGTAATATTATCTACTGACAATGTCTCAAAATACACTACTTCCTACCAAATTCCTTCTTGAAACATTACTGGCCCAAGCTATACATTTTGAACCAGTTACATCCTTCTGGACTCAAATATTGCATTATAATAGTGAACTACATCTTCAGTCAGATCCCTAACTGCATTGAATGGGTAATTAACTAATGAGACAGCCTACAACAGATCTATAAAAACGCATCCACGATGTTCATAATATGGAACCCTCACAACAGAATTGAACCACTCTCCAAAATCTGGTCTCAATGGCAATTCCTGATTCCTAAGTAGCAGAACCGGATTCCCACCACCACTTTCTCACCCTCACTCCCGCTCCTTAGAGCCAGTTAGAGGCTATATCTGTCCCCTTAGGAGAAGATACCCTTCCCCTTCCTTACCCATCCCCCATACCCTTACCCTTTCCATTTCCATACCCATCCCCCATACCCATCCCCCCTTCCTCTTCCTACCCCCACTGCTTTAGCTGCAACACATGTATAATCTCTACACGTAGATTGGTTCTATAACCTATGCGGTTCTTACTATTGATGAACAGCTCCTCTGAACTAATGGAACAGTTGTGCTCACATGCCATTCATCACTTTGATCAGATTACCTTATTCTTTTTCCATGAATGTACAACAATGAAGAACACATGTCATTTTTTTATTTCAGGATAACTTTATTGAGTGTATTACATAACAACATTACAATAATATGTTACTGTTTTCTTTTGTTTTCTTTTACCTGGTACACATTCAGATACGATGTTCTGAAGCACAATATGTTGTCATTACATATACCATGTACAATATTTAAAAATAAAAAAGTTAAACAAAACGTAGCACTTCAAGATAAGCATACTTGTACAATCCTCTCTTAGATAGTTATTGCAGTAACAGATTCAACATTACTTTCACAGGCTACCAAGTTTAACATAGATGTATTTATTTATTACAAGAACTTGCATAGCACTACCAATTTTATGCAGCACTTTACATATATTGCACATTCACATCAGTCCCTACCCTGAAAAAGCGTACAATCTAAGGCCCCTAACTCACATTCATACAAGGGCCAATTTGGAGAGGAGCCAATTAGCCTACCAGGCCAGCATGTCTGTGGAGTGTGCAAGGAAACCCATGCAGGCACAGGGAGAACATACAAATTCTACACAGGTAGTGCTGTGGTTGGAATTCAAACCAATGGTCGAAGTGCTGCTAGGTGGAAGTGCTAATCACATAGCCACTAGACTACTCGGTCATTTGCCACCTTTTCTATGCTCCTCATAGGGCCCTCTATGATATTTTATTTGTTATTCTGTTTTGTATATCCTGCTCTAGATTTGCAAGCACTCTTCTTCACCTATTTGTATAGCACTATATGCACGGCACTATGTAAATCATTTTAATAATAATGATAGCTGATTGGTTCTTATGGATTACTGTATGATGAACATTGTCATAACTCTTTGCACCCATTTACTTTACAGAATAAGCCCAGTGCTGTATAATTTGCTGCAAGAAATAGAATCCTCTTGATCATGTGTTGCTATGAAACATTGCAGCCTTCTTCTCTTCTACAAAACTGTTCTTCAGAGCATAAAAATATTTCCTTATTTTATATATAAAGGCATGCCTCTTCCAGCCTTCTTTCCATTCTGCATTCCTTGATTTTTTTTACTCTACTGAACAATCCCATAATGGACATTTTTTGTTCTTTTTTTATTCTTTCAGAGAATCGTTTATAACATCTGTTTTTTTCTATTTATTTTCCAGTGCAAAGTGAAACACAAACCACTGCACCTCCAATCCCTAAAACAACTCAGTCAAATAAAATACCAGAGTCAAAACCCGGTAATTGAGATAACAGTTTTTCTAGTATAGGATTTAAGTGTAAAAAAATGTATACTTCAGTATAGTTGCTTAGGTCTTTGTTTTCACTGAGTATGGTCTACCGTTAAAATTGGAAATTATGAAAATATGGAGAGCACTTTAAAGGGACAGTCTGCTGAGATGTCAGTGAACATATTTGTGAATGTATGCTACAGTATTTCTTTTCAGTACCTAGGATCAGCTTTGATTATTTTCAGATGAATTTTAGTTTGGGTCTTTAGTTAGGAGAAGATAGGTGAATAATATATGTCCCATAAATGATCCTGGACATTACAGTCAGCAAAAAAAAACTGTGCTCTACCTTGCAAACTACCTTGCTTATTATTCTAATTTGTTTCAAATGATATTACATGGGGAAGCGACCTTGAGATAAAAACAATTTTAGTCTTTTCTGACTGCTCACAGGTAGGTACATTATGAGTTTACATTGACAACTAGTATCATAGTAATCATTATTAACGCAATAAAGTACAGACTCAATGTCCCCTGTGTTAGTTAAGTATAATTTTTGAAAAACAAATGGAGAGCAACTTAGGAATTGTCATAAGGATAGGTAGTGTGCAGTTGTCTTGCTATTATCTTCTTAAAATTTGAGGTAGGCTTCTTCTGTATTGTTCTGTGTGAGTGTTTTTGTGTGTTTGGGTTCATTCATGTTTGTTACCCTTCTCTTTGTTTATATAAAGTACAGACTTCTTAAGATTTGAAGATCTGCACATATTTTATAATTATTAGTTTTAGGTCAATTTGATTTCTTTCTTTACACTGATGATTTATGCCTGGTTTGTTTTACTATTTATATAAATATAAATTATTATTATTATTACATACATTATTATTATTTTCTATAGAGAGAATGCAGCGGAAACTCTTAGTTTGCATGCTTCTTTGAGTAAAACTTTTGAAAAAGCTATGCTTGGGAAGGGGCAAAAAGAGATGACTCAGTAGTCAGTACCCTGACTTGTTTACCTAAATGTTCAAATTCCACCCTAAGCTACTGAGCTCTGTGAGCACAAGCTTTTGTTTTAGCAAACTAGATAAGGATATACAGCAAAATATAAAGGGGAGACCAAAATTAAACTAACTGGCTGAATTCGACATTTTTTAAAATACATACACTAATATACCTGAAAAATAAAATATTTCTAAGTACTTTATTAATAGTACAAATTGTGAAATTAATGCATCAATGTACAGTGGATGATCTGCAAATTTCTATAGCTTTATATACCAAGGCTTCATTGATTGCCTGTATATTCTGCACCGTGCAATTTGAATTATGACTGTTCAGTTTTAGGTCTCATCTATGTGACCAAGTGGAAAAAAAGAGGGTGGGCAACAAGCCTAAACTTTGTTTTCAGAAAAGTTGTTTTGCTCTATTCAGGTTTAGCAAGGCTTTTCACAAGTCTGCTAGTGGCAAATGCTAGGTGTTTCGATATGCACAGGAATAGTGCACTGTTCTATAGGAAAACAAGCATGACTTTGTACTTATTAGTAAAACATACCTTTTTTTTTACTGTCGTATGTACCCAGTTTTGCCAAATTTAAAGCATATCTGTGACCAGGCTATGGGCATTCAACTATTTACATACTCTTAACAAGCAACTGTAGCACCTATTTTGTGAACTTTGAGAATGAATTGCTCTCCAGTGTACGCAGATATAGACATCGAGTGCTTGTTTTAAAATCCATTTAGGTTTTGTTAAGAATAGGTAAAGACTTGGATAGCCATAGCCTGGCCACAGGTTAACTTTAAACCATAGAACCATCAATTATTACTAATATATCTTTATAAGTGCACAATTTTAAAATCAGCTCCTATACCTGTTTAGTAAATTTCTCATAACACAATTTTCTGGAAATATTGCCTTTCTGGTTGTACCCAAAGTTTACATAACCTATGAAAGTAAAGGATCTCTGAGCTGCGTTTTTCATTTGAAGCTCAGCTAATCCTTTAGGTTTACATATTTAAAGCCTTTGTAACCACACATATCTTAGTCTGGTTTTTTTAAGGAAAAGGCACTGGTGTTGACAAGCATGAAATAAAATTAGACCCATACGTAATATCTTTAAATTATGCAGAGAAAACAAATGGTTCTTCACAATGCCACTTACATATTTTTCAAATCTTCATGCAATAGTGTGAAACAGGCAAGCTAGTTGCAAGATTTAAAAACAGGCAAGACATAGCTCTGCTTATATGCTTCAGTAAGTAAACCCATGGGGTAGCTAAATCAGAGCAGATTTCAGCAAAATTCCAGAAACCATACAGCAGCAGCATCTGAAAGTTATTTGTGAGTTCCTGGAAGATATTAGTTTACTTTTACTTAAAAAAAACTACCCATACCTGCTTTCATTATAATTGTTAGTTCATTCTTGGCATAACCTATTTCTTCTATAATTGTCATTCATTCTGTTCTCCTTCACAGCTCCCAAAACCACAAAGAAAGTATCTATACATGTTATTAGCCTCCAGATCTTTGACAAACCAGATGTTCCCATGGGTAACACAATCTTTTTTTTTTTTCATTCCTGTGATTGCTCATTAGAACACCTTTTTAATTATTACCATGTACACAGACAGAGGTCAAACAGAATATTTCAATATTTTGCAAAAAAAAAACATATTTTAAAAAGGTTAAAAAAAGTCCCAAATCAAATGTTTGACCTCCCCAGCCATGAAAAAGTATTTCCCTCCTGCCTCGAATGATGCGTAACCATTTTACTATTCACAGAGTGGATCATTTCAATCCAGTCAATTCATTATATCAGTACAAACATTTTTATGGCAACTCAGTACTAATTAAGCAGGACATGGCCCCAATTTCTGAGTACCATAGGTATTTGAGATTTACTTATGTATTGCAGTTATAGACAGAGCATTTAGTATTAAAAATTAGGTGTGAGGGGCTGCTTTTTGTTTTATTTCTCTACCAGCACTATGCAGTGTTAAATTACAGCTTCTAATTTACCAAGGTTAATTTAATAAGACTGGAGCAACTATAGATCTAGGTCCCATAGCAGCTAGCCAGAGCCAATGAATAGCACAGTCTGACCAGTTACTCTGAGCAGCCTCTACTATTTTTTTTTTTTTTTTTTTACAGTTTTCTTTGTTCTTTATCTTTCATATGTCACATTCAGTGTGTGGCTTGGCATTCCCTTTTGCTCATGTCTATTGAAGAGGAGTAGGGAGTCATCTTTTTTGGAAACAGTCTGCTCACGTCTTTTTCAGAGACAGCTCAAAGCAAGACTGGACTTGCTTGCTTGAAAGAGGTGCAGTCATACTGATACAGTAAGGAAAGTCCTGCATACCTTGGGTGGGGCATGGGATGGTGAAGCCTATTGGGGCGTTTATGTAATGGATCCTTTAGCAAAACTGGCGTAAACATTTTTTTTATACCTTGATGGGGATCCTTGAACTGCTATGAGCTATTTTTGTACATCTGCGAGGATGCTGAAGGTCCTCTGTACTCAATTCACGTGAACATAACACTTTTATAAGTCATAGGCATTATTTAAACACCTCAGTGATGCTCTCTGTGTATTAATATTTCAGTAACTGTCAGTACTAAAAATGTTCTCTCTTTCAGTTCCTAACACAACATTGACTCCTCAGGCCACAACAACACAAAGACCTGAAAGCCCTCATACCACTCCTGGTAAATCCTTTAGCTAATTAGAGTGGTATTTCTGCTTTTCAATGGCATGCATATATTACTGCACACAGCATACTATGATGATTTCTGAGAGTTTATGTTACTGATGCTGTACACCATGGGTGCTCAACCCATGGGTAGACAAGCCTGGAAGGTGGAGATACCTGAACAATGTAGAAGAGATCAAAGATCACAGGGTACAGTGTGTTGTTTTTTTATTAGGATAACCTAGCCAGACCCCATTAAAAACTAAGCAAGGTTTGGAGAAACCTAGTAAATATATTAATATACATGTCGCTGTAAAAGTGTACACTTATCTTAACTTTTTAGCTTCAGTAAGAAACTTTGCATTCATTTCATTCACATTATGTCATTCCAAGTTGGATGCAAGGGTTATTCACTGTTTTATGTCTTCAGAGTAATTTGTCACTGTATATAAGATGCAAGGGTTATGGACAGAGTGCAGGGATAAAAAGTATGCATTTTTCAGCATACAGAAGTCAAGAGTATGTTATGTAGTGTGCAGGGTTCAGAAATGTGCAATGTACAGAGTGCAGGAGTATGTAAAATACTGAGTGTGTAACACACAGAGTGCAAGGGGCATGAGTATGTAATGCACATAATGCTGGGGTCAGGAGTGCGTAATGTACAGGGTGCAGGGGTCAGGAGTAAAAGTACTGTCCAGCCCAATGAACAGAGTGCAGGAGTCAGGAGTATATACATTCTAGTGCCCCTTTATTCATAGCACAGCAGCCCCCCACCCCCATGAGGCATTTTGCCAGCACACACATTCACATCCACATGCATACAAACACTCAGACATACACACACTCCCAAGCACATACACATATACACACCGATCAGACATAACTTTATGACCATTGAGAGGTAAAGTAAATAATACTGATTATCTCATTACAATGGCATCTGAAACTGGATGGGATATATTAGGTGAACATGTTCTCCTTAAAGTTGATGTGCTGAAAACAGAAAAAATTAGAAAGTGTAAGAATCTGAGCAACTTTGGCCAAGGGCCAAATTGTAATGGCTAGATGACTGGGTCAGGGCATCTCCAAAATTGCATCTCTTGTAGGATGTTTCCAGTTGGCAGTGATCAGGATCTAACAAAGGTGGCCCAAGAAAGGAAAACCAGTGAACCCGCGACAGGGTCATTGGTGGTCAAGGCTCATTGATGCGCGTGAGGAGCAAAGGCTAGTTTTGTGTAGTCCGATCCATTAGAAGACCTACTGTAGCTCACATTGGTGAAAAATGTCATGCTGGTTTCAATAGTGTCAGAACACATAGTGCAATGCTGTTTGTTGTGTATGGAACAGAATAGCTGCAGACTGGTCAGGGTGCCCATGCTGACCTGTGTGCACAGCCACAGTGAGTGGGCATGTGATCACCAGAATTGGACTAAAGAGCAATGAAAGAAGGTGGAATGGTTTGATGAATTCAAGAATGGTTTGAGGAACACAACGAGTTTGAGGTGTTGATTTGCCTCCAAATTCTGCAGATCTCAATCCAATCGAGCATGCCATGGGATGTGCTGGAAAAAAAAATTCAATCCCTACAGGACTTAAATGATCTGCTACTGATGGCTTGGTGCCAGATACCACAGCATACCTTCAGAAGTCTAATGGAGTACATGACTCGACAGGTTATGGCTGATTGGTGTACACTCACATACAGTACATTTACGCATTCACATATATACACACACTCACTCCCATATGCATACATCTACACAATAACACCAACTTACATACACTCACATACACACATTAACACACACACCAGCTGCCACTTACCATTCTCTCTAAAGTCTATAGGCTGGCATGGCTGGATGTCCCTCTCTGCAGTCTCTGCAGTTCCTTGTCCCCATTCCTGCTGGTGGGAAAGTGTGTAGGCAGCAATCCTAAAAAGAAGCAGCATAACAAGCCTTGCCCTGTTTAAGTCCACCCTCCTTGTGTTTGTACAGAACTGTGGCTGCCCAGAAGCAATATGTTGGCCAGCTACAACTTCAGAAAACAGAAGCAGCAGCAGTGCCAGCACCCAAGGCACCAGGCAAGAGATAAAGGATATATGCTCTGACTGCCCAACGCTAGAGAGGTCCATGATGACAGGGTCATGATTTACCCATCACATGGCCATTATCATAAGGGAAATGGCAATCAGCCTGTTGCTGACCCAAACTATAAGACTAAGATTCTGACTGGCCACAAAGCTTTTTACTTCACTGTTGATTCTGTTTTGGGTAAAATGTGATGCAAGCAGGTTGGGGGAAAACATTATTTAAAGTTGAATGTTTAAGAAGAGCAAACAAGTACCACTGGTGATCTGTCTGGCCCTGCCACTTTGATATCAGATTGCCCAGTGAAGATAGTAGGTATCAGCAGTACAAGCATCAGTTGTAAGCAAATGTTTTCATGTAGCATGCCTCATTACCTTACTCTCAAAGTAAAGTATGACTACTGCTTACTCTATATATTTAAATACAAGAAACATGCATGGCTTTATTTTTTTCACATGTGTACAGCTGTAAAGTTGCTGCAGTTTACAAGTTGAATTCAAGTGACAGGCCATGGAAACTCTTGCAGGAAGACATTTTGGCTTGGCCCCATCTATTTAGCCAATTTGATTGATGAAGTATAAAGTATTGGAGCACATGTACAACTACTCTGTGTACATCTTTACAGCTGGACTAACAATTATTTCTTAAACGAAACTCTGTTCAGTTGATATATGGTCCATTACAATGAACTTAGACAAACTGTATATTTATATCTAATATCAACTGAGATGTACTGCATCATTAACATTTCATGCTTGTACAGCAATCCTTCCATCCATATAAAAAAAATCATCATACTGTATCATTCAGAACATTCTTTATCCATTCTTTATTCATTGTAAGTCTTCATACAGCATATACAGTGTGATATACATTATGAACAGGTATTTAAAAATGGATGTACATGGGTTTTCTTTTTCTCCAGTTCCCGTGCAAAAAGTTTCACAACCAATAACCCAAAAACCCAAACCATCTCCTCGGACTCGTACAAAACCTGGTAATACATTTATAAATTATTAAAAACTTTAAAATGTTCTGAAAAATGTGTAATATTTCAATAGTACACATTAAATGATAGTGTGTAACAACTCTCACACATGTTCTTACTGTATATCTGGCAATATTTAACATGAACATTTGTAGGAAGACTTTTTGTCTGTATATGTCAGATTCATGCTACAGTGGATTGAAACAACCATCTAGATCAATGATCTCCAAACTGTGGCCCAGGGGCTGGATGTGGCCCTTTCCCATATGGAAGAAAAATATATTTGAAAATATATATTAAAAATATTCTTCCCAAATATATTGACATATATTTGAAATACTACAATTTTGGCCATATTCAATATATTTAAAAAAAAATTATATATATATATATACAGTTGCAAGAAAAAGTATGTGAACCCTTGGGATTACGTGGAGTTTTGCATGAATTGGGCATAAAATGTGCTCTGAACGTCATCTAAGTCAAAACAATAGAATAGAACACAGTCTGCTGAACATAATACTACACAAACATTAGATGTTGCCATGGTTTAATTGCACATAACATGTAAACATTCACAGTGCAGGGAGGAAAAAGTATGTGAACCTTTGGACTTAATAACTGGTTGACCCTCCTTTGGCAGCAATAACCTCAACCAAACGTTTCCTGTAGTTGCAGATCAGACCTGCACAATGATCTGGAGTAATTTTGGCCACTCCTCACAAAACTGTTTGAGTGTGGCAATATTTTGAGTGTGGCAATATTCTTGGTGGTGTGAATCGCTCTCTTAAGGTCATGCCACAGCATTTCAATCGGGTTGAGGTCAGGACTCTGACTGGGCCACTCCAGAAGGCGTATTCTGTGCTGTTGCAGCCATTGTTTTGTTGAATTACTTGTATGCTTTGGGTCATTGTCCTGTTGCATCACCCATCCTCTGCGGAGCTTCAGTTGGCGGATAGATGGTCGTACGTTTTCCTGCAAAATGTCTTGATAAACTCTGGAATTCATTTTCCCATCAATGACAACAATCCGTCCAGGCCCTGAGGCAGCAAAGCAGCCCCAAACCATGATGCTCCCTCCGCCATGTTTTACAGTGGGGATGAGGTTTTGATGTTGGTGTTCTGTGCCTTTTTTTCTCCACACATAGTGTTGTGTGTTCTTCCCAAACAACTCAATCTTGGTTTCATCTGTCCACAGTATATTTTGCCATTAGTGCTGTGGAACATCCAGGTGCTCTTTTGCAAACTTCAAACGTGCTGCAATATTCTTTTTGGACAGCAATGGCTTTCTCCGTGGTGTCCTCCCATGTACTCCATTCTTGTTTAATGTTTTCCATATTGTAGATGTGTCAACAAAAATGTTAGCATGTGCCAGAGATTTCTGTAGGTCTTTAGCTGACACTCTGGGATTCTTCTTTACCTCATGCAGCATTCTGCGCTGTGCTCTTGCAGTCATTTTTACAGGACGACCACGCCTAGGGAGAGTAGCAACAGTGCTAAACTTTCTCCATTTGTATACAGTCTGTCTAACCGTGGACACGTGAACATCAAGGCTTTTGGAGATACTTTTGTAACCCTTTTCAGCTTCATGCAAGTCAACAATTCTTGATCGTAGGTCTTCTGAGAGCTCTTTTCTGCGAGGCATGGTTCACATCAGACAGTGCTTCTTGAAACCAGTAAACCCAAAACAGGTGTGTGTTTTTTAACCTCCCTGGCGGTATGATTATTTCAGATTTATGGTGCTGAAAGCGGTACCATTATTTTGCATGGAAATATGTAGTTTTTTTATTGTAGGCTGTAATTTTTAGGAATAACTCACTGAAATCTGTCCGAACAAGAGTCTAGTAAACATCCCGGGTATGATAAAATTTGAAACACAAAATCATAAGTTATAATTTAATAAATAATCATAAAAACTAATAATATAATAATAATACATTTAATTCAATAATATAATCAAACCAAAAACACTGAAAGTTGAAATATAGTGCCAAGTTCGCACATCGCTGAGCAAAGTCGCAAAATCGTTTTCAGTGTCTGATGACGAATTTCCCCACGAATCATTATCACTCAATTCTGAAAGTGGTTCTGATTTACTATCGCTGTTCTCTAGCTGATCTAAACCCGCTTTTGACCTAAAGGGATGCTTTTTGGATGCCATGGACTTTTCTAAGTTTCCAGACAGAAAGAACAGTCAAAATGCAGACAGGGGACAGGACAAAGCAGTAGGGACAAAATGTATGTGAAATGGGTTGAGACAGCAATGTTTTACTATGTAAAATTTGTTTTGAAAAAAATGACATTTTTTTTAAATTTTCAAATTTCCCGCCGCCGGCGGTGCCCGTACGTCCCGACGTCACAGGGATCGGAACACAGAAGCCGGATGCCGGCATCAGCCGGAGGAGATGGCCGGGGACGCTGCAGGGGACACATCGCGGGAGCGAAGGACAAGGTAAGTGCTGCAGGGAATCCCTATGGAGCGCTGCATGGTAAGCCCGAGTGTAGCTCGGGGTTACCGCTTTTGGTACTGACATTTTACCCCGAGCTACACTCGGGAATACCGCCAGGGAGGTTAAAGGCAGGACAGCTGTCAGCAACACATCCAATATCATCACACTGATTGGAGTCAAGGTTGGCTCACTCCTGGCTCCAATTAGCTCTGGGAGAAGTCATTAAGCTAGGGCCTCACATACTTTTTCCTCCCTGCACTGTGAATGTTTACATGTTATGTGCAATTAAACCATGGCAACATCTAATGTTTGTATAGTATAGTAATAGTATTATGTTCAGCAGACTTTGTTCTTCTATTGTTGTGACTTAGGTGACGTTCAGAGCACATTTTATGCCCAATTCATGCAAAACTCCACATAATCCCAAGGGATTCACATACTTTTTCTTGCAACTGTATATATATATATATATATATATATATATATATATATTGCATGTTGAAATGCGTTTTTATATATTACAAATATATGAAAAATATTTTTGTAATATAATGTTTTTAAATATATTCTTGAGATTTTTTTTAACATATAAAAAAAGTAATTTTAACATATATTTTTACATATATTTGTAAATGCATTCCAAAAATGTAGATTTGTATTTTTTAAGACATACAGTATATTTGAAATGTATTTTTAAAAATATTTTTCATATATTTTGAAATAAAAACGCATTTCAACATGCATATATATATATATATATATAATTTTTTTTTAAATATATTGAATATGGCCAAAATTGTAGTATTTCAAATATATGTCAATATACCCACTATGCTCTCACCTCAACGACAACAACCTCCTCGATCCCCTACAGTCTGGCTTCGGTCCCCTACACTCCACCGAAACTGCCTTACTCAAACTCTCCAACGACCTGCTAACCGCCAAAGCTAATGGCCACTATTCAGTGCTCCTACTCCTTGACCTCTCTGTGGCCTTCGACACAGTCGACCATCCCCTCCTCCTCAAAAAAACTACACTCCCTCGGCCTCAGAGATTCTGCTCTCTCCTGGCTCTCATCCTACCTGTCACAACGCTCTTTCAGCGTTACCTATAATGCTACCACCTCCCTCTCACTCGCCCTCTCTGTTGGGGTCCCTCAAGGCTCTGTCCTCGGGCCCCTTCTCTTCTCCATCTACACCTCCTCCCTTGGCCAACTCATACACTCTCACGGCTTCAACTACCACCTCTATGCCGACGACACACAAATCTATCTCTCAACCCCCCACCTCACCCCCTCGGTCTCCGCCCGAATCACACACCTGCTGAGCGACATATCAGACTGGATGTCGCTCCACTTCCTTAAACTGAACCTTTCCAAAACCGAGTTTCTTGTCTTCCCCCCAGCCCGGACACCTCCCCCCATTGACTTCTCTATCACATCGAATAACGCCACCATCAAACCCGCCCCGCAGGCCAGAGTACTTGGTGTCATTCTGGACTCCAACCTATCCTTCCAGCCCCAAGTCCAATCTTTAACAAACTCGTGCAGACTCCACCTCCGCAACATCGCCAAAATCCACACGTTCCTAACTCCAGAAACCACAAAACGGCTCATCCACTCCCTCATCATATCACGACTCGACTACTGCAACTCCCTCCTCACTGGCCTGCCTCACCGCTGGCTATCCCCGCTTCAGTCGATCCTGAATACAGCTGCCAGACTCATTCACCTTTCCAACCGCTCTGTCTCCGCCACCCCCCTCTGCCAATCCCTCAACTGGCTTCCGATTGCGCAACGGATCAAATTCAAAATCCTAACACTGACGTACAAAGCTGTCCACCATACTGCCCCGAACTACATCACTGACCTAATATCCAAGTACCGCCCAGCACGCACACTCCGCTCCTCACAAGACCTCCTTCTCTCTAGTTCCCTGGTCTCCTCCTCCCATGCCCGCCTCCAGGACTTCTCCAGGGTGTCACCCATCCTCTGGAACTCCCTGCCCCAACCCATCAGATTATCACCTACTCTCCTTTAGGCACACCCTGAAAACCCATCTCTTCAGGGACGCCTACCCCACCCCCTGCTAACTTGCCGACCTCCTCCACTCTTTCTACCACTCCATCCCCCACAGCTATCTCCTCCTGTGCCACCATCCCCTCCCTCCTAGATTGTAAGCTCGAAAGAGCAGGGCCCTCAATCCCCTCATGTTTTGCATTGTATTGGTATTGTTCTGTCACATGTTCTGTCCCCCTCTGTAATGTACAGCGCTGAGCGAACTATTGGTGCTTTATAAATACTGTATAATAATAATAATATTTGGGAAGAATATTTTTAAACTATATTTCAAATATATTTTTCTTCCACTTGGGTTTGCTTGCCTTTATCTGGCCCTTGGGGCACTATTCCACCAACTGACACCAATGATGGGGCACCATTCCCTCTACTTACACCATCTATGTGGCACTATTCTTTATACTGGTACCAACAATTGAACACTATTCACCCCTTTAAAACCAATGATGGGGCACTGCCACTGGGGCATTTTGTACTCCCACTGGCCACAGTCTGGCCCCCTAAAACCTGAAGGACAGTAAACTGGCCCTTTGCTTAGAAAGTTTGGAGACCCCTGATCTATCTGCTTCCAGATAACCAAATGACAATTGTGTTTTAATTGTGATTCTGGAACAGGAGTAACATTACTAATGTACACCAGTGAATTTACATGGTAAGGCAGTGAAAAGAGTAATAATTGTATGTAAATCTAGCCATTGATACTAGAGGATTGGTTGCATTAAATTGTGTCTATTTTCCTTTGCCTTATGTAACAAACATATGGGTATGTTTATAAAGCCATGAATGTGATTTTCACCGTATCTTCATTCTTAGTGAATCAATGTCTGTGATTTACAATGCATGCACCTAGAAGATTCACTTGAAGTGAATTTTAGGTAAATGTCAGATTCACTGTTATATTAATGTCCCATAGTGTACATAACCATGGCATATTTTTGCTTCTGCTTAGCTGTGATCCATTCTGTTCATCCAAAAATTCTACATGATAATAAGAGCAACATCATTTGCTTTCATTCTGCTTTCACGTTAGTGTATTTTTAATATAATTCAGTCTATAAATGACTTTGTGCATGCATTGATAAAGGAGTTCCTCATCCCAAACTAAAAACTGCTTGTAACTCTGAGGTCCTTTGGTATTCTGCAAGTACTCTAAAAATAAAAACAATGTATAAATGACAAACTGTTTTAAGAAACCCTATGCAATTCTGAAAATACTGCTTATTAATGTTTAAAATACATATTTACATTGCAAAACTGATATTTCAACAATGGGTGCTTATCCCACTATTAGAGAACATTCAATGTCTTCTCACAACAGCATTCATACAATGCTGAAGTATTATACACTGCTCAAAAAAATTAAAGGAACACTTTGAAAACACATCAGATCTCAATGGGAAAAAACATCATGCTGGATATCTATACTGATATGGACTGGGTAATGTGTGAGGAACATAAGAATGCCCCATCGTTTGATGGAAATGAAAATTATCAACCTACAGAGACAATTCAATTCAAAGACACCCTGAAAATCAAAGTGAAAAAATGATGCAGCATGCTAGTCCATTTTGCTGAAATTTCATTGCAGCAACTCAAAATGGTACTCAGTAGTTTGTATGCCCCCACGTGCTTGTATGCATGCCTGACAATGTCCAGGCATGCTCCTAATGAGATGATGGATTACGTCCTGGGGTATTTCCTCCCAGATCTGGGCCAGGGCATTCACGGAGCTCCTGGACAGTCTGAGATGCAACCTGGCGGCATCGGATGGACTGAAAAATGATATCCCAGAGGTGTTTTATTGGATTTAGGTAAGGCAAGTGTGGGGGCCATTCAATGGTATCAATTCCTTCATCTTCCAGGAACTGCCTGCATACTCTCGCCACATGAGGCCAGGCATTGTCGTGCACCAGGAGGAACCCAGGACCAACTGGCCCAGCGTAGGGTCTGACAATGGGTCCAAGGATTTCATCCCGATACCTAATGACAGTCAAGGTGCCATTGTCTAGCCTGTAGAGGTCTGTGCGTCCCTCCATGGATATGCCTCCCCAGACCATCACTGACCCACCACCAAAACGGTCGTGCTGAACGATGTTACAGGCAGCATAACATTCTCCACGGCTTCTCCAGACCCTTTCACATTTGTCACATGTGCTCAGGGTGAACCTGCTCTCATCTGCGAAAAGCACAGGACGCCAGTGGCGGACCTGCCAAATCTGGTGTTCAATGGCAAATGACAATCGAGCTCTATGGTGCCGGGCAGTGAACACAGGGCCCTCTGTATTGGGAGACACAGCAAACTTGCTGTCAATGGCACGTATGGATGTGACATCCTAGAGGAGTTGGACTGCCTGTGCAACCTCTGTAGGGTCCAGGTATCACCACATGCTACCAGTAGTGACACTGACCCTAACCACATGCAAGACTACTGAAAAAAGATGTCAGAAAAGATTAGTAGAGAAAAAATGTCAGTGGCCTCCACCTGTAAAACCATTCCTGTTTTGGGGGTCATCTCATTGTTGCCCATCAAGTGCACCTGTTAATTTCATTACACCAAAGCAGCTGAAGCTGATTAACAACCCCCTCTGCTACTTAACTGACCAGATCAATATTCCAGCAGTTTCATTGACTTGATGCTACACACTGATTAAAAAGTGTTCATTTAATTTTTTTGGGCATTGTATATTGCTTAAACGTATAACGAATGAAACAAAATGAGAAGAATACTACAGATTGTTTAGATTTTTTTTTGTCTATTACTTGCCAAAATGTTCATTATTGTTTAGGTTAAATATTGATTAAGGGCCTGTTCACACTAAGCCCTCATGCAGACATGACGTTTTCATAACGCTGGCAATGTTGGCTGTGTAAAGTCTCGTTAAAAACGTGAGGTTTTCAGCTTTCTTTAGCATTTTTGTATTAGCATGTTGCCGCGATTAGCTGCTTTTGTCTGCTTTTTCCGCGTTTCTGTTTTCTAACGTTTTTTTTTTCCAAGAAAATTTTTTTTTCGGTCAAATAAAAGTCCAAAAATGCTGGTTTGCTGCGTTTTACCGCAAAAAAACCTAGAAACCCACTAGTTTTGGGTTGTTTTTCCAGCCAAAAAACATCCCAGCCAAACAACATTGATTACAGACTATGTGTGCATGGACACATAGGATAACATGCTGGGGGGTTTGTTTACTGTAGAATAAAATGTCAAACGCCAAAAACAGCAGCTGGAAAAACGTCAAGTGTGCATGAGGGCTTAAACATGATGCTGGAAACCCGTGTTCTGTGCTGGTTTCTTGCACCTCATCCTGATCGCACTGCCCTTGCAATCCGCAGCGGGTGTCAGTGCAAAGTCAATGACACCCCAAATGTAGGTCACAAACACAGTGCATTTGCCCATACCAGATCGTATGGTACTGCAATCCAGTTGCAGTGCATTTCCAAAAGTAGAGCATGCATTCCTTTTGGTGTGGTGCAGTGCAATTTTGGCCCATTCAAAATGAGTGGGCTGAAATCATACTGCACAGATCTGCATGTGAGTCACTCAGGAACTGTACAGAGTTCCTGTGCGGTTCACATGCAGTTCCTAATGTGATCGGGCTCTAAGGGAAGTGGATATTTACATACATGTCCATTCCTAAATCAGAGCACAATATACTCTAAGTCTTTGGTCACACCGAATCCAACTTTGAAATCGTGCGACTTCATTGGAATTTGCACAATTTCAAAGTCAGATGTCACTCTAAATTCAGGTGCAAGTTGGAAGACATCTGTGTGACTTCATGTACGCAAGTCGCACCTGAACTTAAAAAAAGTAGTGCATGAAGTACTTTTAAAATCAGTTCGACTCTGATGGAGTTAGAATCACACCGATATGACCACTTCCATTGCGAACAATAGGATACGAATTGTTATGTGATTTGAAACTATCAAATCACATGACAAGTTGCATCGATGTGACCGGGGACTAAATTGAGTGTGTGCCAGGGTCACCACAGGTGCATATCTGCAAATACAACTACTTACAGTCCAAACTTAACTAGAGAACATCCATAAATATTTTGACCTAATACATTTGATTTGTCACCTCATTTTGCTACATTATACTAATTAAATCTGAAACCCTGGCTTAACAACTATTGCATGTGTTTTCTTAATTGAATCTTGATGTCATTTGTGTGTTTCTTCCATATCTGTGCAGTAATTTAGAATAAAACAACTTTTGCACTTTGCCTTTATGCATGAGCTTTCTGTTCTATGGACCAGTTCCTACTTCTGTGAATGGTGAATGGTATTGTGCCCACGCCGCTGTAGTTTTCTGTATGCCGCCTGTAGTGGGAGGACCTGCTGAGTGTCACCCTCAGACCTCCTCTCTACACAAGCTATGTATAGGACAGTGATGATATCATTGCGCCTTTTACAATGGAATATCTGGGTTTGCAAAGGCATTTGACACTGAAAAAGTGGATTGATATCCTTTCTCTCTACTTAAAGCGGAGTTCCAGTCATTTTTTTCTTTTTTTTTTTAAAGTTCCTCCGTGACAGTCGCAGCTTACGCCATGTAAAATGGCATACGCTGCAGATGTAATTGTTTGTCTTCCTTGTTTTTTTAAAGATACTCACTGGCCCCTCATGATCCTGTGTTCTTCCATCTTCACTGTGGGCATCTGAAGCCCAGCCGCACTGTCTTCCGGGATGCGGTGAAGCTGGCTACCCAGCATGCACCTCCTGATCTTGCGCGCCTGCGCAGTGAGAAGCACGGCGCACTCATTGCAGAGTGGGGGATGCCCATTGACTTCTGGGATTGTTGACACATACATCCCAGGAACCAACAGGCAGCAGGATGTGACGTATTCGCTGCGGCGAGGTATATCGGAAGTGCAGTGCTTCAAGTAGCCTAAAGGTATGAAGACTTTAGGAGAAAAAAAAATGTGCTAAACATTGATGGGACAGCAGGAAGCAATACATGGGGCCAAACTTTAAAAATCGGGTGGAATTCCACTTTAAGGAATCTATTAAAATGACAGTTTTTGTGTCTGGAGCTCAGCTCTAATGATTTGTTTGAAAGAGAGCACAAAACATAATTAAAAAAAAATCAGAAACATAGTGAACGTACACAAAGAACATATTTCCAGGCATTCTTTAAGTGATCCATATAGTACACTTTCTTCATTTTGCAGGTGGATGTGATGTGTCTGTGTGTGTGTTTCAGTTGTTTTAGGACTTTTGATTGTTTCTTAACAGCTCCTACTGCAGCACCCAAGGAAACTACTACTTTGCCTAAAATTCCACATGTGACTGCTGCAGCAACGTTGGGTAAAACATAAACAATTATTATGCTCGGTGTATGAGGAATGGCATATTTTGTTTTGCAATGCAGATCTAGTCGCCTTCATTTTTCTCTGTTTTGCCATTATATTTGATCTTAATGGGAGCCTGCAAGTCTTTTCTTGCTAATACAATATTTTGAAATGTTTTGCTTTGTTCATCATCTCTTTATTCAACCATCCTCTTGCTTTATGAATGCAAACTTAGCATGCCATCATCATCAACCATCTTCAACCATCCTGGAAAAAGTTTTCATCATTTTCTTTTTTTTATGGTTAAAATAAATATTTAAATTTCAGAGGCAGCATTTCATTATCAACGCTATCTTGCTTCAATGAACTGCATGGTCTCGGGCAATCACAATTGTTTGAGATATCTTTCATTTAATGTAATTTTACATTTTCTTTTTGATTGCAGCCACCTATAGAGTGCAGCATAGCTCTTCCAGACCAAGAACATCACTTAGACCAAGAACCCGACCCGGTAATTTCTACTGTTTAGAAGTCCCTGTCTTGTAGAGTTACAACTGTTACAAGTTTTTTTCTTTATTTTTGCTTTAATTGTTATGTGTAGCACCAGCATTTGGAGAGAACTCTTCCATTGCCCAAATCTGTCCCCCAAACACCAGCCTTGTATGTAATGTCCCTTAGTGGGGTCATATAAAATATCAAATTAGCAGTCTGCTCCCAACATCTTTCACCACAAACTTCTACTGATACTGTGATGTTGCGGCAAAATGTACCTGTGCTTATGGATCAAATACCTCAGACAGTCCAGCAGATAATGCTTTCTTTTAATTTTGTTGAGCTGTGTGTACATGTTCAGTTTTTTATTTGCTCAGTCCGCAGGTTGAATGGAAAAAAAAAATGTCAGATCCCCAAATCGAAACAAATGAGGTGTGATGCAGGAATCTCCTCCACTTCGCTATTGTATTTTGGCAGCGAGGACTCCTGCTATTGGCTGAAAGCGCTGATCGAATGTTGGTCATGCTCGTTCAAAGAAAGCTGGTCATTAGACTTGGCTGAACAGTCAGCAGTACACGCAGACCAAAAGTCCTGTTGAACTGGCTGATTTTCAGTCCATATATACCCAGCTTTACGTATGTGTTTTCTGAATTGCAACCTGCCTGAAAATCAAAAGCAGAGAAGCAAAGAACATAGTTGTCAGAATGATGGACTACAGTTTTTTACTCTAAGACCTTCCAACAGCCCACCTATAGCACATAAGATGGAAGGGAGGTTGGGGCACACCTACAGCTCATAAAAAAGTAGGGAAATGGGAGATCTCAATGGCTGTCATTACCAAGTGCCCCTGTATTCTAGACAGTTCCAGATTTGTTCTTGGAAATGTCTCAAATTTTAATCTTTTTACATGTATTTAAGTTAAAATGAAGAATTACAAAATAAAAGGTTTTATTACACTTCAGCTTAGTATATTTAAAATAAACTGTATAGTGATTGTACTACACTATCACTATAGTACTTATATGTGGTGAATATGAATGATGTCGTTAATATGGATACTGCCCTTGGTTTAAAGACATTTCAGATGCTGAACCCAAACTCCATTGAAATTAAGGGAAGCCAAATCTTTCAAATTAAAATGTCCATATTCTGAGCTAATAGGCAAGGGATATAAAAAAAATAGCATGGGGGGTGGGCACTGCCTGGGGAACATGTACTTATGCAAACATTTTTTTAAAATTCCGTTCAGGCAAGAGCAGTGATTTCTTTTTAATGCTTAAAGTGAAATAATAAAAATGTCCAATCCTTTAAGTAACATCCCTGGGGCGTCCCTATGTCTGCCTGTGTAGGGGGGCACAGAAAGTGCTGCAGCAGCATTGACATTTAAAAAGGAAAATACGTGTTTGAAATTGTTGGAAAATGACAGACCATTGACAGCTTCTTTAAAAAAAAAAGGATCTGCTATTTATTTGGGGGGAGTTTTGTAAGGGTCTGTGTGCTTTTGTAAAAAAAATAAACTGACAAAGAATATAATTTACCAGCAATGTAAATGGCATCGTATTTTTCTTTTATGACAGTCACTTTTACTGTCACACAAAAAAAGTGTGAGGTCTACCCTCAACATGGAGTTCTACCTTGTCAGGGCTGACAAAGCATCTTATTTCCATGTTGATGAGGACAAGGGTCTCTGCCCCACAACCCTAGCTGGTGGTTGTGGGGGTCTGTCGGTGGAGATCGTATCAAAATCTGGAAGCTTCTTTAATAATAAGGGAACCCCTAGATAACAGCCCCCTACATGAAAAAAGTATGTTACCCAGAAATAAAGACATCCAAACATTTGACAAATCTTTTATTAAAGCTAAAAAAAAAAGATAACTCAGCACACACAACCAATTCTGACAGTACTCATAGCCAAGTAACAGCTCCCTAAGCCACCATCAGCTATATAAGGGAAGGAGCAGGGATTTTGGTGACATCATTGATCAAATATAGCCATAGTCAATGTCATTGGCAAAGTTTGAATAGTGTCTAATCGCCCCCATCCACCCCCCTCCCCTGATATAATCTGTGGTGAAACAGGTTGGCACTAGTGCTGAAAATAAAGACTTTCTCTCTTTGTCCTCCCTTTCCCCCATATTATTTTTATTATGTGCTGTGCTAGTAAACCCTGCAGAGCGCAAACTATGCGCACTGCAACCATTTCCTCTGTTTTTGCTTGGCACATTCAGTGCAACTAACACCAATTTCGGCACAGTGTACTTTGCACACTGATTTTTCCATTACCTTATTCTCCATTTTAGGTTCTTTGACTACAAAAAAGAAAGTGTGTTTTCAATCTGAAAGTGTTAAAAACAGTTAGTATGGCTCTTACTAAAAAATGATTGTAGGAAGGATATATCTGCTATTTTTTTTTAAACCTTGGGATGACAGCTAGGTCAACTATCTTTTTTAATTTAAGAGAGCTTACCATTCTGGTAGCAAGATATATTTCTATTAACATAGCAAACATACCACCAGAATTCGCGTGTCAACCAAAATTCATGAAATGTCATTCAGCTTAGGATGCAAAAGTTGAAGCATTACCAGCCAATCCTATGCATTCAGGTAACATGGAAATACTTTGGAAATATGTATTACGAGTTGCATGGCATCTACATGATAGCATGGCAATTTTCATGTATTGTGGTCCCACAAGGAAAATATAAAACCATTCTGGTAGAAAAGCATCACTCCTTTAGTAAATCAACTCCATTATCTGTTTAAAGATGCTGGACACAATTCACTAAAGCTTATCGCATGAGTTAAGTCAGTCACATGATCACATATCACATGCGATACTGAAAATATCAACTCACTTGATAGTATGCGGTATTTACCGAAAATAGCAAAAACACTCGGTAAATACGGCATTAAAAGACCTTAAAGTTAATTCACAAAAGGAAATGAATAATGAAATGCTTGCTGTAATTAAGTAGTGGTCCAGGCATGCGGTATGTACTGGTATCTGTCAGTACTGTCATGGGTTGTTAAGGAATGGGTGGCCGCTGAGTCCCTAACAATCTATGAGTCATCAGCTACCACCGGGTTCCCCACTGACAGCTGAATGCAAAAAGAAAAATTGCCAGCATTTACAAAATAATAACAAAATGATATGGGGTCTCCCCCTCCATCCACACCAAGCCCTTCTGGTCTGTTTAGGATTTTGAGGGGAATCCCCGCGCCAAAATTGTTTTAAAAATGGCGTGGGGTCCCCCCCAAATTCCATACCAGGCCACATGCCCTCAACATGGGGGGTCCTTTGGGGCAGGGAGGGCTCCCCCCCAAAAGCACCTCATCCCCATGTTGATGGGGACAAGGGCCTCTTCCCCACAACTCTGGGCTGTGGGGCTCTGTGGGTGGGGGGATTATCAGAATCTGGAAGCCCCCTTTAGCAAGGGGGGCCCCCAGATCCCGCCCCTCCATATGAATGAGTATGGGGTACATGGTACCACTACCCATTCACAAAAAAAAAAAACTGCTGCTGCCGCCGACACCACCCGCAAAAAGAAAAAAAACAAAGGCTCCTCTCCTGACACTGGCTCCTGGACATCTGACTGCTCTGCTGGCTTGACAGGTCTTTAATATGTAAGGGGCGGGGCCATCAATATGTGACCCCCGCCCCGTGTAACATCATTGACCAAGCATGCCCCGGTTGATGATATCACATGGGGCGGGGTCACATAGGTGATGTCACTGGGTGGTCCCGCCCCTTACATATTTAAGAACTGTCAAGCCAGCGGTTAAGAAATGCCATATTTGGATGCGGTAAAATACAGCTTAGTGAATTGTGCCCGCTGTTTCATTATCAAAATTAATGACTTACCACCTTCCAGTCTGGGCCAATTCTGACATTCCTCTCCTACATGTGAAAAACAGAATTTTTTTTTGTTAGAAAACCACTTAGAACCCCCAAGTATTATATATTTTTTAACTGCTTCCCACCTGGCAACTGCACATAAACGGCCAGGTGGGAGCTTTCCCCTTCTGAGAGGACATTCCTTAACGTCCTTTCAGAACATGCGGCTCATGCAGCCTTAGGGGGTGCGCAGCGGAGCGTTCCTCTAATGGCTGTGTCCATTGAACACAGCACATCACAGATTGGGATATGGGCGCTGTGATTGGCCCTCCTGATCATGTGATTGCTGTGTCCAATCACAGCCATCATTCAGTATAAACAGAGACGAATGTCTCTGTGTCGGCTTTACCCGAGGAGATCAGTGAGAGCTCAGTACTGGGGGGAGGGGGATGCTGCAAGCCTGTGACAGCATAGCTTATGATTTTAGTGTTCAGCTATGCAAACAACACACAGATTGCTGCCATCCCCTTACAGTACATGAAGCACGATCATCTGTCCCTGTCCAAGTGTCACATCAACATCTGTACCAGTGTCACATAAACATCTATACCAGTGCACAAAACATCTGTCACAGTATACCAGTGTCACATCAATATCTGTCACAGTGTACAAAACAACTGCAATAGCCTTCCAATCGCAACATCTGTTGGTGTCCGTCAGTGGGCGATCAACATCCATCATAATGTATAAATGCACAAAAAAATATCTGTCAGTGTACCAATGTCCCACCAATAAATAAATTAAAAAATTTAAGGCGCCCCTCCCCCCATGCTCACAAGCAAAAGTGAATGCACTCATTGTCCTGTACGCATATTTAAACAGTAATCGTACTACACATGTGAGGTATTGCCATGAACGTCAGAGCAAGAGCAATAATTCTAGCACCAGACCTCCTCTGTAACTCTAAACTGGTAACCTGTAAACGTGGGACTGACATTTACATTTGCGTGTGAAGACATGGGGATGAGGGCACTCTAAATATTTATTTTATTTTATTTTTTTTTTTTTTACACTCTAACTTTACAGTTTTTTGCACTTTTATTGAACAACATCCCTTGTGATAGCATTGATCATGGTGGGCCTCCAAAGCAGCAGATCAAGCCAAGATTGGTTTGATCTGCTGC